TTTTTTTTAGTGACTACTTTGTTCGGTCAATTCAGCCAACAGAAGAATTATTGCTGCTGTATTCGCTTTCCTTTTATTCTCCTAAAATTTAGTTTTAGTTTTTATAAACAAGCATTTTCAACACTTATGGATTAAAGCTTTCGCTATAAATAAGTATGCGGCATTCAATGTTACCTGCAATAACGGCAGAAATAAACTTATTAAACTGGATTGATATGCAAGAAAAACCTCAAGATTTCAAGCCAATATATATATATATATATATATATATATATATATATATACGATATATATATATATATATATATATATATATATATATATAATACACATGTGTACAAATGTATTTATTTATTCATTTATTTACCGATTTATTTGGGAGCGGTATCTTAGGGATAACAATCTCTGTCAATTTTATACTTTTATATGACCACATCTTTAAGCGCCTCGTTTCTGCCTTTCATTAAAGTTGTAAAAAATGCCCAACAAATAAACGGCTATAAATACCGGGACTATCGATATACAATAATTGTTAGTTTATTGAAAAAAAAATTCCTAGTTGTTTCAGTGATATAGCAAACGGGGATTTGTTGATACCTTTCAAATTTGCCTCTTTCTTCTGTTTTTTATTGAAGTGAGTAAAAGAAAAGAGTGAAAAAACAAGGAAAGCAAAAATTTATTTTTTTGTTGAAAAATTGGATTTATATCTATGCGTATGTTTTTTATATTTAGGACTGTTGTCAACGCTTGCGGAACGTTTGCAAGGACCCTACAATGTTGCAACAGTAATGGTACCTATAGCTGTACAAATTTCCAGCGGCATCATGCTTTATCAAGAAAATCAAAGTGAAATTTCACCAAAAGTTAGTAGATGTACAATTTATTCTTTTATGAAGAACGGAAAAAACTCTAATGATAAATGAACATCTCAAAGATGGGAACTGAAGCGTGAAAGTAACGAGTGTTGTGACGGTTAATACTATATAAACTTTTTTCATTGATTAAGGCAAGTTTATTGCTTTTTTTTTGGTATATGCTTGTATCACTGCGATTGTTTTCAGATAATTAATCAGTGCATGAAAAAAGGATTTGGTGATTTACGGCAAAAACGTGAAGCATATACGACTGTTGTGATTCCAGAATTTTCTGGACTTACTGAACAAAAATCTAGGCAGCAGAATGTGTTGACAACTAAATTTTTAGAAAAGGTGTAAAATAAGTTTTTCTTTGACAAGGTTTTTCAACATTTGACTCGGTCAAAAACTGATGAATTTTATCGTAAATTCCCATCAGAGTCTGTCACATTGTCCTTAACTTTTTGCCTACTGTATTGTGCTGTGTTAATAATTGATGGTCTTCGTTATACCGCTGAGTTTATGCTGTGCTGCTGTGAGAAATTATGCCTAATTTTAACTTTGTAATATTTTTTTTTCATGAAGGAATCAAAAAATTGTGAAAGCACAATTAATTGAACAAAAATCTTTTGATGTAGAAAGTCTTTTTCTGCAAAAAAAAGAAGAGGAAAAGTAGAAAGGGTAGGAGATGTATTACTTGTTTAAGAACAGTGGCTATCGTGCTGTTTTTTTAGCTAAAATTAGTGGAAAATTATTGGCGAAAATTACCGGAACAACTGTGCAGTGACGTGAATGCTGGAACACCAGAAAATGGGCAGTGCTGGAATGGGACTGATGGCTATGCTAAAATTTTGTCGGCAAAGGATGATCGGCTGCAAGTGACAAATTCAGAACATTTTAAACACTATGTCTTTGAAAGTAGGCAAAAGTTACCATTTTTTTATTGCAAATGTAGTTTTACCTACTTTTTTTTAGTTTCTATATGCAGTATTATAGTGAGAAAAGTTGATCAGTTTTGATGCTTTATCGTTTAAAAATTTTTGCTTCAATTTCCTTATCATATCACAATGTTTTTGCTGTTGCCATACTCTCTTTTCGACGTTTATCCTACTTTCTCTTCTGACTAGTGATATTTACAAATTTTTTATGTAACATAAAAAATGTCAGTTTAAATTTTCAAACTTTAGGTAATGTATCGGATGAAAAGTTACGATTTCGGATGTTGGCAAGAAGGTTGACGGAAATTTATTCTGGTAAATGGCCACTTGCAGACGAATTTGATACAGTTGATGGCTCTGGCTATAATTCGGAGTATTTTCCAGTTGACGATGAAATTGGAGTATGTACTGCGTAGTTGATCAATCTTTTCTACGCGCAGTAAAAAATTTCTGCTGTATATATATAAGCGGGTTTCAGGATGAAACCAGTGGTATTGTTGAAGACGAAGCCATATTGTTGGAGCAGAAACTTTCCATGGTTACAACAGGTAAACCGATACAAAACCTGCAAGTATCGTCAACAACGGAATCACAAAATTTGGCCATCAAACGATTTTCATTGCCAACAATAGTGCTGCCGGTTTTAATACTTTTTTTAATGTTCTTTACTGTGATTTAGACAGTTATTTTTGATCATAGAATGAGACCACTTTTGTATAATTTTTTCTTCCTTTTTTCTTTCTTCAAATCAGTCAATGATAACTGTGATCTGATAATTTTAGAGTTTTTTTACAAAGCTATAAATACTTTAATTGTCACTTAGGTTAATTTTATTTTAGAGTTGTTCTCGAAAAAAAACAGCTATAATGATATCGTTTCTGAAAGTACAATCACTATTTTTTGAAAAAATGTTCACTGCTACTTTCAAGCCTGCTGTATTAGTGGTTGGAAGGTAGATTATTAAGAACAGTACTATGTAGGATTAAAATATTATTTTATTAGAACTAGAAAAATTTAAAGTTTTTTTATTCTCAAAACAAATTACTGGAAGTTGTTTAACGCTTTGGGAGAACCGCTTAGCCGAAATTCACTGCAGTTGGTTTCTTTTTTCTATCAAAAATAATTCTTCAAGTCGCTTCATTTCTGGTAAATATTATCTATCGCTCAACAACTGGTCAGCAGTAATCTTTAAATCCGGTCTTAAAAATGATGCTATTTTAGTGTTAACAATGCCACATTCTTTTGTTACTAAATCTTTTATTTTACTTTATTTTTTAGTTTGTAATCATTAAACAGATTTAACATTTGGTAGGTAATGTCATTGTGTCGTAGCTATGTATAGCTGTGTATTGGAACTAATTCAAAGCAAAACAATTGTGTAACTTCAAAAAATTCTATTTTATTTGATAGGATAGTGTTTTGTCAACTATGAAATTAAGAAAAAGAGTCTTTTTTTATTTTAAGAAGAAAGTACGTATCCTTTTGCGTACCAACTGTAAGAAAAATGGAAAGTTTCTCTCGAACTTGACTAACCTACAAATAAAATTGTTGCTTGTTTTGCTATGGTCGTGTGATTCGCTGTCGGATTTACTGGTATGTACCATAGAAATAAATTGTAAATTTTTTTGCGTTTTTTCTGTGTGTTTTTTAATATTTTGTCAGAATTTTATCGCCAAAGCTATTAATTTGAATAAAGAAGCTTTAGTGGCATAAGTTTACATGTGACCGAAAACGTAAAGAAGATGTTTATCGCATTCTCTCAGTAATGTAATGTTCTGCCGTCCACTTGCCTTGCACTTTGCCACTACACCGTTGCCAAGAAGTATGAAGGCTAGCGGAAAGGCTGATAGACAACGCGTAAAACTGACTACCTTTTTTAAAAGTGTTTAACAAATGGGATCTGTAAATTCTAACCAGGTTTGACAAGATGTCGACTTCAAAGACAAAGAGATGGGCGAATTATATGCCCTTTTTTTATCTCGGTATAAGAATTGTAATATTTTCTAAAATTGTTTGTCTATTACTACTTAGGGCATAAAATAGTACTCTATAAGTTCTACAAAAAGATAATCACAAAAGAAGCAAAGAGTTGATTGTTTCTGAAACTTCGTAGAAGAAACTTCAAAAACTTCTTCAAACAAAAGCATAACGGCTTTGGGTTAAACTAATAATCAAATGACGCCTTTTGCAGATTTGAGTGCTTTACTTCTGCAATCCGTTTCAAAACTTCAAAAGTTTTGTATATGTTTTAAGACCTAAAAAGATACAGTGGCAACAAATTACCTAAAATGCGTGACAACGGCAATCTTGTCTTTCTGCGTTTTCAAAATCTGGCTACAGTTAAAAACAGCAAAAAAATCAGGGTGGGTCGGTCTAATTACCTCGAGAATGGGATTGTTCCAAAGCGGCTGTGAACAACTGCAACACCTCGCAAGTGCTATTATATTCTTTTCACAGAATTTGGTGCTACCCTTAAGATATCCCAAATCAGCGCCGATCAATTTTAGTATAGACAGCTTCTTTTAAGGAAATTGATGCTACAACACCGCTGGCAATAAAAGCAAAAGTATTAGCAGCGTTATGAAACGTCAAAGAAGAAGATTTTTGGCATAAAAAAAAGAATACCTCAGTAGAGTCTCAAAGTTTCTTTTTGCGGCAGGGTTCTTTCTTTCCTTCTTGTTGGCAGTTTTTTTATTTTCACCAATAATGTGTTCATCAGTTGGAATTTAGGACTTTTAAACTGAGTCATTTAAAAATTGTATTTAAACCTTTATTGTCTGACGAGTATCGTGAGAATGATTCAAGGTAATTCAAATTGTCTTTTTTCTTAGAGAAAAATAAGAATAAAACTTTTTTTAAAGTGTTTAATTAGTCTACGTGAACAGAGAAGCTAATAAGTATTCAGATGTTTCTAAGAAGTCAAAGTGGAAAAGCAGATTTACAATCGTATTTTTGAAAGTTTCTAATCTTCTGCTTAACCACAACCTTCTTAGCAGTTATAAATTTTATGAGTTTTGAAATCAAATAGGTGGTTTTAGAGTTACACTAAAGAAAGTTTTATTCAGTTTTAAAATTTTATGTATATCATGCAACTTTCTTTGAAAGCAATCTGCAGGTAGTTTATAAGAAGAAGCAAAGTGTTTTAGGAGAATATAAACTGTTCAAAATCTTTGCTGTCTGGTTAAAAAAAATTTCCAGATATGAGTCTTTATAAAAATGAAATCCGCAGTTTTAAAATGGAAATTAAATGAAATAAGTCTTTGCATTTCAAAAAAAACCTCAAATGCAGCGATCGATCATCGATCATAAATAACCGTGTAAAGTTGCTACTGCCTTATCACAGTCTGTAATCTGTCCGTAGTCTGTCGGCATCGAGTAAACAACGGTAAAGGGTTGTATTGAACAAATCATTTCGCGCTCACACCTTCAACAAGGAGAAATTTTCACAGAATTTATTGTTTTTATTCATGCTTTTCCCGTTCCTGTAAAATTTTTACCACCTGCTTCCAAGCAAGAAAAAATCTTCACAAGGAAATAAATGAAAATGAAAGTACAGTATAAATAGGCAGAAAAAGAACAGAAAATTTGAAAAATAAACGAAGAAAATGATGTTTTTGTGAAAATTTTGTTGAATAAATTTTAAAAAAATCTTCATCTTCTAAAAAAAAATCTTTTTTTTTGAATTATTTGTGATACATTCAGTGGGTACCGTTGTACAGCGTAAAAGTTATTTCTTTGAAAAGGAAAGGAATGAACTTAAAAATAAAATGTATTAAAATAGGTAAAAATTGTCGTTTATAAAAGAATTCAATGATCGGGCTTTCGTACCTCATACAGATAGATATGTCAAAGTGATAAGATGCCTGGTCTGACAGATATTTTGCCTAGACAAGTAGGATAATCTGCTTAAATAGAGTAAAAAGTATGCTTCACTATCCTTTTCTGAGATGCTGCAGTCCAACAAGCAGAAGCCGATCAATCTTTCAGGCATCATTTTTCTAAAATTCTGTACTGATGCCTTTTGTTTTTTTCTGTCACCTGTATTTCTGCTACTAGAAATCCGGATTGCAACGCAAAGTTTAGCGTTTTAGCTGTACGGATTGCACTGTGTTCTCCCTTCCGCTTCAATTTCAGTCAGTTGTTAGCCTCTTTTGTGTATTCTTGGTCTTCCTCCAGTTTTGAATTTTAGTTATGCCCTGTAAGTTCTGTCTTGCTTCTGATAAAATTCGACTCATAAACCTAACTCAAATTTACTTAAGTATTGAATTAAATGACTTCAAAAAAGGTTACTTTGAAAAAAAGAAAATTTTCATCTAGCTTCTTCTTTAGTCGCAAAATGCAGTTTAATTTTTAAACATTACTACAGCTGAGCTTTTTAATAAACTGGAATTTGCATAAAAAACGCTAACATTACGAGCGTTCAATGAACTAGCTTTGAATGCAGTTGCCCTTAAGAATTCCGTGTAGAAAAAGTAGTAATTTTGAATCAACGACAAAAAAAAGTCACAAATTTTATTGTTTTTAAAGTGTTATGTTAATATTTTAAATGTAATTTACGACAGATCTGTATTAATACCTAACGCATTTTCTGCTTTTGTTCATTTAGATGCCAATATTCAATGTTGACGTCAAGTTTATTGCTGCACAAAATATCTGTATTTGATGGAAAAAGATAATTCTATACCATTTGTTATTTCCAATTCAACGAAGATTCTTGTCTTTTATGCCAGCTTGATCACTAGGTTTTTATAATACTTTTTTTTACTCAATATTTCTTTTTGATAGACAAGACTTGTTGTTGATCGGAAGAAATCATTTTTCAACTGTTACTCAGCAAACTATATTTTCCAAATTTTAGAGAAAAGAAAACTTGAAATCAATTCACATTTTATTTTTTAAATAGTTTAACTGCTTTCGTAGTTTTTTTCTTTTTTTATCTTTAATAATTTTTTAGCTTAGAAGATTGATCAAACCAATCAAAATAAAATTCTTCAAGTAGTTGATTAAAAAAAAAAAAAAGTTTTATTGCAATGAGAAATACACTAGTTCAATTTAGGTCATGAAGCCTTGGTTACGATAAAATCAAAAAAATTAGGTTGAAGATTAACAAACCAAAATACGTCTTTAAAAAAATTCTTTTTTGGCATCTTAACGTATAGTTTCTTTTGCTTTGGCTTTTCATGATTATAGTTTATTAAAAAAATTTTTAAACTTTTACTTTGCTTTCAGATTGAAGTTTTTTTTATTTTAAGAAATTAAACCATAGTATAAAGACAATTATTTCACCGATAAAGAAAACAGAAAATGAGAGACGACTGTTGCATTATTGCTGCTTCACTTATTTGAAATTTATTTTCTTCTTAGATACAGCCAAATGTTTTACAATATTCAACTGTAGGGTGAAAAAAAAGTTGAATGATTTTTGTCCGCTGTCGAGGATTCCCTTTATTGTTCTGGTTTCCATTGCTGTTAATCGTCTGGGCATTACTCTGTAGAACGCTTCATGCACCATCCTCATTTACACCAGTTAAAGCATTATCTCACCTGGAAGTAAGTATATCTTTGAGAATTGCCAAAGCTTGTACAATGTCGTCTTTTTTTCACAAATTTATTCATTTGTAAATGAATAAAAAATATTTATTTAAAAAAAATTACCTTTATCTATTTGTTCATGTTTTTTGTTTCTTTCAAACATCAACTAGTGAGTAGAACATTTATAATTGTACTACCTTATTACTACTAGCAAAAGGTAACAAAGAAAATAATTTAAAAAACAAATTTTGACCAATAATTTTGCAAAAAAATTTTTTTTGTCGAATTTAACTGGCAACTACTTTGAATGAAATAAGCTGCTAAAAGCAGTACAACCAGAGCTTGTTTTAACGAGCAGGTTCTTTATTAAAACAAGACCAACTAAAGATAGGGTTATGTTTAGTAATTGTCATGAATTTTAGTTGCTCTTTTACTCAGTACAGTTGTTTTTTTTTAATGATTCAGTTATACATATTCCTCTCATTCATAGTGCACCATTTTGCATTAACACCACCTCGACGATAAAAAAAAAACTTTCCAGGGCTCTCCAATCATTTTGGCATGGACTACATTCTTCAGAAATAGTCTTGTTGGTTACTACAAGGCGAGAAGACTTATAAATCCAGTTAACTGCTCCCATACATGTTTTATAACGAATAACAGAAAGTGTGTATTGAAGCAAGCGTAATTACTGGTTCTTTAAAAGAAGTTCTAATGGTTAGAAATAAAAAAACTTTTCCAGATAAGGACGGTGAGTTTAAGACAGAGAACCGTTTTTGATTCAAATTTCAGGTATTTGCCGTTTGCAGATGCAGTCCTGTTTCACCCATTTGACATGAGTCTGTTTGATTTACCACGGAGACGCTTCAAAAATCAGTTTTACATATTTGTCTCATATGAATCGCAATACCACAGTGGTGATATCCTAAAGCAAAGATCTGTTTGGACTAAAAAATATTTCATTCCAGATAATTTCTTTAATGCAACAATGTCTTATAGGTAACATTTTTTTTGTATACACAAGAACACCTAATTTGTCTGCAATGTAAAATTACTCATTTAAAAAAGAAAGTGACAATTAAGGCTGCTAGTACTTAAATCAAAATAAAATTTGTTTGCTTGTAAAATCAATTACTTTAAGTTTTTTAAAATAAACAATATACGTGAATTTATTACCGAATGGGTTTTAAGGAAGGATTCAGATATAACTGCTGCCAGCGGTGTCCTTTCAAGGCTTACCGACGATGAGTTGCAGAATCGTACTTCTGATCATGAAGAGGTGATTTTTGAACTTTTTACATACGTCAGCTTTTTTAAAATGTCGACTGATTTTTTATTGAATGATCATAAAAGCTTTTCAGATTGTTAGAAGTATATTTCAACGACCAAAATCTTTACTCCAATTTGTATCCCACTGTGAAACCATGTCTCGCAGAGAAATTTACATAAATGAACTTAAAAAATACATAGATGTCACTGTATTCGGTAAATGTAGTGGCCGTCGGTGCTCGAAAGAGTGTGATAAACGAGCAGTCGGTAAAAATTCAAAGAATCTTTCTAATTAGCTAAAAGAGCGTTTGAACTTACAGTTTCTATTCACAGCTATTAACAACCAATGTTCTTATTTGGCCTTTTATCAGCGACTCTGTAACAACAATTTTTTTATTGTTTTAATATTACTGGCAAAAAAGACAGGTAACCTTAAATTTGGTAAGTGATTTATGAAATAAACTGAGATTTTTTAGCGGAACACAAATTTTACTTGTCATTCGAAAATAGCGTATGTCGAGATTATATTACCGAAAAAATGTATGACCGTATTGGCAACTTATTACCAGTTGTTTTAAGACGGTCCACCTACAAGGGCATTATTCCAGATGAAGCTTTTATTGCAGCTGACGATTTCAATTGTCCAAAAGACCTAGCTAATTATTTAAATTATTTGAGCAGTAATTACACAGCATTTTCCAAGTTAGTTTTTTTTTCGAACGCTGTAAGAGTTTTAACAGATTACCAGTTGTTAGAACTAAATAATCCGCTATAACAGAGTTATCACTAGAGTATCTCGTATCTTTCTAGCTTAGAAAAATTCTCAGTAATAACAACTAAATTTATATTCTGAATACTCGAGTTTAAATCTCGTAACGTCTTTATCTGTTTTCGCAATTGCTTCCTGCATTGTTCCAAGGATCCACCGATAATGCTAAATTTTATAAACAATCTCATTTTTATAAGTAAGACAAAATTTGACCGTAATTTAGCGTCGATCACCGTTACCAAAATTACTTGGTCGCAAGAAGGCTGACTTAACATAACATTTTTAAAAAATTAAAAAGTTTCTATAAATAAAGTATATTCAATTTTCTTACCAAAAGGATACAATGATAGATAAAAACGTTTGAGAAGATGTAAATACGTCCTCTGAAATGAGCAGAAGAAATTGTTGAAAAGGTATTATTTCTCTTTTTATTTAAGGTATTTCGAGTGGAGAAAACGTTGGAAGATCGAATTGAAAGTTGAGGAGTGTGAACTGTGCAGATTTGTCCAGCTGTATCGAGGAAAAACGAAAACCTTACCAAGCATCAGGAAATGGTTATATCACGATTCAGACTGCAAACATTTTTACGGCGAACAGTTAACTTGTGGTGGATAATTTAAAAAATATAGATAACTTACCAATGAATAAGAGAATACATTAGTGTACACAAAAGTCAGGTTTTATGTGGTCATAAAGTTTAATTTCTATAATACCTTTGAAATATTGCTCACTAAAGTCTCGAAATATCTTAATCTTCAGTAGCAGGTATTAATCAAGCAGACAACAAAAATTTTTCTTTTCCTTTGTTTTTAACACTGACCTCTGTATCAACCAAAAAGAAAGGTACAAAATTTGAATAAATTTTTGGAGCTTTTTTTGTCAGAACGTGTCCTACAATTTCACCTTTTATTTATTTGCTGCCTCTGTAAAATAACGCGGAGTTGTTCTGTATATACAGGTTTGGTAAATTTTGTATTTCTATCTGTCCATTCTTCATAATAATGAAAATTTCAAGTTTTATCAGGTATCTGAATTATTTTGCATTCAAAGGTGTAGCGAAGAACTTTTATTGGGATGCTGCTTGTTACGCCCTACTTTTTTTCCCCGTTTTCACCTTACAAAAAACGTTGTTTCTTTTGTGAATAAATTCGAGTGAGTCAATTTTAGTACCACCTTTACTTAAAAGAAACTCGCAGGTAAACAAAGCACCGTCATTAAATCACCTATTCTGCAACTAAATATTAATGATTATTCAAAGCTCAGTACCATTATCTAAGAGGAATTTTACTGTGGATAACTGCAATAATCGAATTAGGTGAACCGCCAGAAGGAGCTTTCAGTAATACAATCCAGAAACAGTTGCTATTCTAAGGTGAGACGAGTAGAAGCTAAGCAGCACAGAAAATGTTCATATTTACGATTTACACAGTTACTGACTGTATATCTGCCAGTGAGAAGGCTGTCGAAGCCGTTCTGCCGATGGTTACAGTCGGATGTTTTAGTTCGAGGTTTGTAGAGATTTGAGGACTACACATCTCTAACAATTCGTTTTGCGCCTAGTATCTTCTGATCACTGTTGATTAGTTTCGCTGTACTGCAGTAGTTTTCTCAACTGGCAACGGTTATTTTTTTCACGCATTCTTCGGCTAAAGAGGATTTACCTAACAGAAAAACTCATTGTTTGAATTAGACCTATTTTCAACCTCTGCGTACTATTGTGAGCCCACTTCTAAATTCCACTCGATTTTGGAAAAATGTTTAGGTAATAATTTGCTTTTCTGTTGTCAGCTTATGAGTATGAAAGAATTCAGTGAAGAGGCTTGAAGTATTAGTATACGGCGGTTAGAAGTGAAAAAAAATACAGTGATTTAATCAAGTAGCTATATGTGTCATGCAACGTGCTCTAAAAAAGTTAGAGGAACTCATCAACAAGCCAGCCAATACCACTACTAGTCCGTCTTTATAATAATATTATATTAAAAACCGCAGTCTACGTCGATCCGTAACAAATTATTTCAAATGCTATCTAGTCATAGTTAACGATTGCGCAGCCAAAGATCACCCTATAAACCCAATCTGTCTCTTGGAATCGGTTCCGCTTCTGGTACAAAAATTAAACCAAAAAGAGAAGGGAAAGGAAACAGAAGGAAGGAAGAAAAGATAATGGTGGGAAAAAAGCCGTCAAAATTGAAATGGATGAGGTAGATTTGCCGTTAATTAGCATTTTTAACCATTACCTATATATTGTTTGCGAAGCCATTTCTCACCGGACAATCCGTGCATTTACACTGATAAGCTACTTGACGGTGAGTCCGCCGGCTAGAGCTAGCACCGCAATTCTGAAGAAGACTATACACTTGATGATCGAAAGTAAACTAGGACGTTTTCAACGCGTATTTAAATAACATTAAAGTTTCCCGACAAAAAGTGACTAACTACTCGGAAACGACTAGTCGTCCCTATGGTTCGACATTGTGTTTTGCGCTTTGTAATAGTGCCAACCCAAACAGAGAAGTCGTATGTTTTACGTGCTTGATGAGTATTTGGTCCCTTAGCATTGTCTAAGGTAACATACAGTTCAACCAGACTGAGGGTCTTAAACAGATGTTTAATGCGTTGAAAGCGTTGTTTTCTTACAACAAGCACTGATTTGATGTAGTTGATGGTTAAGAGACTAAGAATTTTCAGTCTCATTGCTAACAGGTGGATTTTTCGTGGAAGCACAAGTATTTTTTCCCGAAGAGTATTTCTTAATTTAGTGGTCTAGCTACCTACACGTTTTTTTTTCGTGCTTTAATATTTTCCCATCGTGAATTCAGATTATCAACCTGGAGAAAATTCGGCAGAACTTTACGCATTATTTTTGGAAAACTTTTAAACGGTCCCTTTTTCTCTACTTTGTTTTTTAGCGCTATTATTAGTTACAGCCTAGAAAATATCTGTAAGAAACGAAATCTGGATATGGGATTGGTAGTAATTTCAAGTACAATTTGTTCTGCAACAAAAGAATGCAGTACAGCATTCAATTGTTCTTGTATGCTGTAACGGTACAATAACTGATCCACAATAAAGAAAAATTTGTAGTCATTTTAGCTTCATGAAGTTGTGCTGTGCCACCATGTTTTTTTTCTTTTTTATCTGACTCTGTTCAAGTGGAACTTCAAAATTCAACTATTTTCCTGAGTTTGGGATACAGTACCACAAAGAGGTAAGGAACTAAAAAGTTTAAACTCTTATTTGCTGTCCTACGACTGGTTTGTAAGTTCTTACCTCATTAGTTCACACGATTTATATTTAGCCTGCAGTTTCGATACACCAAACAGTGACGCATATCACGGTTGTCGTCGAGAATCGTTTAGCTCACATCTTCACATGCTCCTCCTCGCAGCAGAAGCAAAATTTTGGTAGCACCGTTTTCGTTTCTGGTTAGTGAACTCTTTTCATTTTGTTCAGCCTTCTCCAACCAAGAGTGAAAAGTAGCTACTAAACTTCAAGTGAGTGTAGTCAATTTAATCCTCATTTAAATCATTCCAGCTCATTTGTTTGCATAGAAGCTTCTCTCGCTCATATAATTCCTCTGTATATATATATATATATATATATATATATATA